GGCACACTGGTCCTTTGCTACCCACCCACCCATCTGCAGGCTGGGTCAGTGCCTTTCTGACCTCCCTGCCCAGACCCTAGTTCAGGGGTCTGGGGCCCTACCAGACCCTAAGCTCTGCCCCCAGGGGCTGGTAAAGTCTAAGTGGCAGGTAGGATGGATGGCATGGGAGGAACTTTGCCATGACCTCTGTATCTCTCCTCCATCTAGAAACCAGATGGTAAACTTGAAATAAGGTGTGGCCTGTGGAGGCCCAGTGGGTGGAAGTTTCTGAGAGGCAGGTTCCAGCCAAGCAAAAGGAAAGCTTTCTAATTACTCGATTTTCCAAGCACAGAGGGGTGTTAGGTAATGAGCTGCCTGTCGTGGGAAGTGTTCAAGCACGGAGTCCTGTGCTGGGCAGGGGCTGACCCGGGTGACCTTTGAGAGTCCTTTCTGAGCCAAGGCCTGTGCAGATACCCTACAGTCTCATTCTCCTGGGGCAGGCAGGGCCCCGCACTGTTCCCCTGGCCTGCACACCTCACTCCTACGAGGCTCAGGCGTGCGGATGGGGAGGGAGGAACATGGCTCTCCTGCCTCGGTGCCCTAGATCCTGCCTTAGGCCTCCCTATCAGATCCCAAGGACCCTTAAGCAGAAATTTGTCCTGCAGTGTCAACATTTTCCTCTCTCCTTCCTACATTTCCTGGTCCCACTGGGGGCACGCTCGGGGCATGCACATCATTTCAATGTCAGCCAGGACAGCATGCAGTAGAAGACAAATAAGCTGCTTCCTCGTGTCTTTGACTCTAGGGAGTTCCTTAACCTCTCAGATTTCTTCATCGGCCAAATGAGGACAATAACACATACCTGGGAGGGTTGTTGTGAAGTGTGGGTGAGGTCATAGGTATCAAAAACTGAGCTTGTGCCTGGCACATAGAGTAAGTGCGTGAAAACACCACCCGAATAGACCCCACCCCCACATTACCCGTGAAACATGCTTTCCTTATGCCAAAGCAAGTGGGCATGACTGTGGATTTGCAACGCCCCGTCCTACCCTCCGTGCCTGCTCTCCTGAGATTCTCTGAGAACCGGCTCCATTCTCCTTGTACCTCTTTACTGGCCTGGTGCACCGGGCCTGCTCTGGGCAGGGGGTGCAGGGGCAGGCAGCGTGAGTCAGGCAGGGAGCTGCTCTGGCCAACAAGGACGGACTTGAAGGGCCCCAGGAAGGTCCGAACCAGTGCTTTGGGGACAGAGGAAAGGACGCGGGCTCCGGCTCCCGTGGGCGGGGCTGTTGAGGGAAGAGTTACAGAAACGACAATGATGGCGCCTAACACTTATTAAGCATCTACTGTGTGCCAGACACTTTAAATACATCAATTCCTGGACTCCCCCGACAGCCCCAGGAAGTAGCTCTTTGGGTTACATGCATGTGACTGAGGAGGAACATTGGGGTGGGATTTGAGGCCACACACCATACAGTGTCCACACCCTGCTCCACAGAGAAGGGGGTGTTTGAAGTGGATATTTAAGAATGCAAAAGATGGCCCCTCCCACATCCTCTCTACCCCCTCTCCCGCAAAGATGGGGGAAGGGCACTGGGGCAGAGGGTTGGGAGAGGGCACAGACTCATCAGCATGACCCTGGAAATGATGATCACGATCAGGAAATTACGCTGCCAGGCTCTCCCGGGTGGTAATGACTGGAGTTCAGCGGTTCTCAACCTGTGGGTCGCGACCCCTTTGGGGGTCGAACGACCCTTTCACAGGGGTCTCCTAAGACCATCAGAAAGCACATATATAATTGCATATTGTTTTTGTGATCAATCACTATGCTTTAATTATGTTCAATTTGTAACAATGAAAATACATCCTGCCTATCAGATATTTACATGACGATTCATAACAGTAGCAACATGACAGTTATGAAGTAGCAACGCGAATAATTTTATGGTTGGGGGTCACCACAACATGCAGAACTGTATGAAAGGGTTGCGGCATTAGGAAGGTTGAGAACCACTGATTTAAAGGGATATTTCAAGGCCATTACTTTGCCTGGCACTGCACTTGGGGTTTTGGTTGTGTCTGGGGTCTGCACCAAAGGGACCAAGACAAAGAACTGGCAAGGCCAACCACACTGGGGGGCAACCTGGGACTCACCCAAACTCCCAGGCCTGCCTGTTCCACCCCCAAGAATGTTTAATATTTGGGTGGGTTCTCAGGGGTCCAGGAAAGGATGGAAGCTGGAAGATATATCCAAGGACCCTTCTGGCCCTGGCGTCTTTGCAGTCAAGTGGGTCTATGGGCCGCGCCAGCACAGCCAAGGGTGATACTGAGTGGGGGGTGAAAGGATTGAGAAAAGAAGACAAGAGAATGAAAGCTGGGTCTCGGTGGGACGCTGCTCCCTATGAGGCACCAGCGCCCACAAGCCGTGTCTTTATTTTATAGCAGATGCCACGAGGCAAAGTAGGGGCGTGATCACGTTGTTTACAGCATTCTCGTGAGTTTCAATCCTACTCAACTACATGCACCCGAACTCTAGCAGAAGGCACGTGGGGCCACGTGTTCGGACCATAGGTTCAAGCTTACAACCATAGCTGTTGGCTATACTTGTGCTGGGAGGGCCCTGACCTCCAGCTGGGACTTGCATGTGGCAATGAGAGGACCCTGTCCTTTCATTAGTCCGAGGCTTGAACCTGGCCAGAACACTGTAGCCGCACCCCATAGGTCTATGTACGTGGACTTGATCTTGGGAGGTGACCTTGAGGCCGATGGCTCTGCCCTGCTGATGGCTGTGGAGAGCCCTCATGTGTAGGGAGGGAGAAGCAGTGGTTCCCTCCTCTGACTTCCTCTCTAGGCCGTGAGCTCCACGTGGCCCACGCCCTCATGGAACCCAGGGCCTTCGCGCAGTGCCCACAAGAGGGTGCACAGTTCAGGTTTATTCAGGGCTGAAGGACAAGGGGCACCCTCTGAGGCCCTGTTGGCTTCGCTCTGGGTGCCTGTGGCCGGAGTTTGCAGAGCATTGCCTCCTCTACGGCCCAGGAAGGCCAGCCCCTACGCTGTGGCTGGGAGCAGCTGGTGTGTGAGGAGTGGATGGAGGCCTGGCAGACAAGCGCCCCAGGCTGGGGGCTGGCAGACGAAGGGCTTCTCAACTCCCCTTTCTGGAGCCCAGAGCCCTGGGGTCTCAGGTGGGTGTGGTGTCCCAGGTGGACGGGGAGAAGTTGCCCTGGGTACTGGCACCAGCCAAGTTCTAGATCCCTCCTGGGTACAGATGGGCCGAGTCTCCCTGTCAAGTAGACCTACCTGAATCCATTCATGCCTTTAACCAGGGCCTCTGAGCACCGACTACGTGCCAGACACTGTTATAGGTGCTGGAGATACAGCGCTGAGCAAAATAGACTACACTCCCTGCCCTCACGGATGTGAGCTTCCAGCAGGAGAGATGGGCAACAATCAACTGAATGAGTCAGTTTCGGCAGAGTATCAGGAGAGTCAGGGAGAAGGTGGGGTGAGCTGCAGATTAAATGGGGTGATGGGAGGGCTCATTGAGAATATAACTCTTAAGCCAATTCCTGAAGAGGGTAAGGGAGGGAGCCTTGCGGATACCTGGGGCAGTGGGGGAGGGGGGGACCATTCTATGCAGAGGCAGCAGCCAGTGCAAGGGTCCTGGGGCAGGACAGCCTGGCAGTTTCATGGAAGAGCAGGAAGGTCAGTGTGGCTGAAGCAGAGTGGGCAAGGGGGAGGGGTGCAGAGTGGGGAGGAGGAGGTCAGGGAGGTAGCAGGGAGTCCATCAGGAGGGACCTTGCATATCACTGTGGGGACTTTGTTGAGTGTGACGGGATCCACTATTTTTGAACGTAAAGGAGCAACACAATATGACTTACGTATGCTGAGTGTGGAACAGACCGGAGAGGGCTCCTAGGCCGAGGGAGACCAGTGAGGAGGCTGCCTGGCGATCCCGGGGAGTGGCAATGATAGTGGAGGTGGTCGTCCAAGTGGATTTCCTGTTGGCAGCATGAGAGCGGGAAGCCTTGGGGTGGGGTGGGGGTGTCCAGAGGTTTGCTGTCTCTGCTTCCTGGAGTCTCGGGGTTGCTGTGAAAGTGGAGGGTTGAACTCTGTGGCTTGGCCCCATCCCCATCTCTCCCTTTTGTTTAAAAAATAATCCTCACCTGAGGATATTTTTTCCATTGCTTTTCAGAGAGAATAGGAGGGAGGGGGAGAGGGCGGGGGGCGGGGGCAGACAGATTGGTTGCCTTCTGCAGGTACCCGGACTCGGGGTGGGGAGTGAACCCCCAACTAAGGTCCGTGCCCTTGACTGGGAATTGAGCCCTTTGGTCCGTAGGCTGAGGCTCTAACCACTGAGCCCGGCCAGGGCCCCAGCTCCCTTTGGGCTGTCTGTTGTCTAGGGCGCCCAGGGAGGTCTGCTGAAAGGGCTCTAGTACATAAACCAGCGGTTCTCAGCCTGTGGGTCATGACCCCTTTGGGGGTCGAACGACCCTTTCACAGGGGTCGCCTAAGACCATCGGAAAACACGTATATAATAACATATTGTGTTTGTGATTAATCGCTATGCTTTAATTATGTTCAATTTGTAACAATGAAAATACATCCTGCATATCAGATATTTACATGACGATTCATAACAGTAGCAACATGACAGTTATGAAGTAGCAACGAAAATAATGTTATGGTTGGGGGTCACCACAACATGAGGAACTGTATTAAAGGGTCGCGGCATTAGGAAAGTTGAGAACCACTGACAAACAACACTCAGCACCATTGCTCTGCTCCACCCCCTTGTGTTACAGATGAAGAGACTGAGGCCAGAGGGTAATGGCCCGGGTGAGTCACAGGAAGGTGAGAGGACAGCTGGATGGAGCCTAGGCTGCCCAGTGCCCAGCCAGGCTGGCCTCCTGGCCTGTGGCCCTCCCCCGCCACCCCCAGCCCAGCTGTTGGGGTGGCATTTGGGTGGCCTTGCTGTGGTCACACTCCTGAGCCCCCGACCTTTGCCCCTCTCCTTTCTCTGTCAGCGATGTGCCCAAGGGTGCCAAGACCTTCAGGGTCTCTGGGAGCTCCGGGGTACATATCTTCATTGTCTACGACCCAACACGGGTGACAGTGCCCACAGACAAAGACCACTGGCCCCTGGACACCACTGTGGACCTGACTTTATCCGTGGACACAGCCAGTAAGGCCTTAGATGATCTCAAGGTAAGAGGCCCTTCCCCACAAGAAGGGACTGCACCTCCCCACCGGCACCCAAGGTAAGAGCCCCCAAAGCATACCTCATTCACACATCACCCCACTCAACCGAACCCCGTAAGGCTTCTGACACCTGTGTCCACACGATACATCCTGATACAACTCTGTAGACACCCCATGCCCAACGAGACACGTCCACATGAATGAATTCTCCCTGAAAACACAGCCTGCCTGCTCTCCCGTCAGGTTCACAAACATCCCGCATTAATCCTGTGCTCAACCTACACACAGGCGCCCTGACAAGTCCCCCACTCTGGTGTAGGCAGGACCTGTGCACGCACCTGGGCAGAAGCAGGTGCACATGTAGATGTGCGGCGTCTCCCACACCTAAAACATTGGGAAGTCTTCTCTGGCTCAGATGACAGCCTCCTCACTTGCCCTGGCCTCCCAGCACACACAGTGACCTGACTGGGCAGGGACAACGCAGGGACTGCGCAGCCTTGGAGAGCAGAGACCCTGGGGCCCGCCGTGGGCTCAGACTTTGCTCCTAGGCTGAGGCGCTATGCACCTGCCAACAGGGCCCCGAGTGGCCGCATGACGCATGGGCCCTGTCTCCTGAGGCCATTCTGGGGGGCCGTGGAAGTGGCCTGGAGAGAACACTTGGCATGGGTTCTGGATCCTGGGAAAAGCTCATCACTACTGGCTGTTATTATGGGATGGAGGTCATTGTTCCCATTTTACAGGCAAAGAAACAGAGGCCTTGAGTAACTTGGCCTAAGTCAATGGTGATGGACGGTCCTTCTCTCTCTCTGACATCCCCCATGAATTCCTGAGGGTCCACCAGCTCCCTCTGGAATCCGCCCACACCCTGCCCATCCCTGGAAGCTGGGGAGGCACCCCCAGCCTCTCCAGCTGGAGGAGGCAGCTCGGGATCCAAGCCTGGAGCCCGTGAGACATGGGCCTGCAGCAGCAGGGAGGACCTGGGGACCCCAGGCCGGCCCTGCCTCTAAGCAGGGGTGTTGGGAGGTGTGGGTCACCCCCGAACCCCTGGTCACTGCCATCTCTGAAGGGGCGGCCGTGCTGGCTTAGGGCTGACCATGTCCCCACAGGTGAAGGTCTCCTACTTTGGGCAGAGCGAGGACCATGCCCTGGGCTGCAGTGAGCTCTACCTCACTGGCGTCGGTACGTACCGCCTCTCTGGTTCTCTGTATATCCCCACTCTCCTCCGTGGTGGCTGTGGAGGGTCTTGGGGGGCCCTGAGTGCAAGCCCATGGCCAGCTTCCTCCACCATTGAGGGGTGTGGCTCCCTAGAACACCAGAGATGGAGACCCAGCAATACTTAGGGCCACAGGAATCTAGAAACTGCACTGCCCCTATGTCAACAGCTAGACCCACAGTGAGCCCCTTCACCTGGAGTCCCAGCTGTCACCTCCACTGGAACCCCCAGGCCAGCACTGCACCCTTGACAGCCACGTGCCCCCCACCCCAGCCTGAGCACCAGAGCAGCTGGCCCCGAGAGCTATGAAACCAGCACCCAGAGCCTCAGGCCTGGTCCCCAACCATGGGAGTCAGGGCCCCCAACTCAGCAAGTGTAGATGAGCAAGAATCTCAAGACACGAAGATGTGGGTCCCTCCTACACCCAGCACCACATGGGGCTGCCACAAGGGCATCCCAGAACAGGGCCTCCCACTTCTCAGGGGCCTGGGGAGGGGTAAAGCTTTCCCCCCCTGGATGTTATAGGCAGAAGCTGGGGCCTGGTGAGCCCCTGGCAACTCCCCTCCATCCCTCTCTAGACATCTCCCTGGATGTTGACACAGCCCGCAAGGGTAAGGCCAAGAGGAGCCAAGGCGACAAGGTGAGGCTTTCCTGGCTACCCCAAGCCAGCAAGGTAGACAGGTAAACCTGGGGCTGGGCGTGGGGTGGGGTGGGGTGGGGGGAGGTGGGCCCTCCCTCCAGAAGGGCCATGGACTCCGAGGGCCTGGGGTACCCAGCAGTGCCAGGGACCCATCTGGGGACTGCCAAGTGGGAGTCACTTACACTGTGTGATGGGCAGCTTACCCTCTGGGTCTCTCTCATGCCACCTTAGGCTTGGGGCTGGTTCTCTTGCTTGGTGGGTTTTCTATTTCGTAGGGTGCATTTGGAACCCCAAACATGGCAGGTGCTTTATAAAGATTGTTGACTGACTGAATGAAGGCGAGGAGAAGCGAGGCTTCCAGTGGAGGAGGCTGGGTGGGCAGCCCAGTTACACCCTAAAAAGTGAGGCAGAGGTGGGGGTGGGCTCAAGGCAGCACGCCACAGGAAGTACCGGAAGCCATCCTGGAGGGTAGAAGATGTAGTTTGCAGAGAAGGCCCCCCGAGAGGAAGCCTGGACCACAGGGTCCGTGGACAGGATGGGGCAGGGCTGCCACGGATGGCTGTGCAGGCCGTTCCCTGCACGGGTGGCCTGGAGGAGGCAGTGAGTGGGGCCAATCTTTCCAGGCACGTCTTGGGCCCTGGTGCAGGGCAGCCCCTACCCAGAGGGGTGAACACAAGCGCCATATAGGCTAGCAGTGCCCCTGTATGGCCCCTGGACCAGAGTTTGAATCCCATCTACGTGGCTTCCCGCAGCCTCTCTCCCCTCTCCTGTGAGGTGG